CATACACCGATCCTGTTACATGGAAAAGGACCTACAGGCCTCACTGGACGTTCCAGGAACACTTCCTCTTACCACTATCAGGCACTGTTTGCCACTATTCACAATATTCAGTTCCCTGAAGAGTGGCAGCCAGCAGTAGTTTTGTGGCTAAAAACACATTTTTCATGGGAGAGATCCAAGGAGAATGGCCAGAATGGTCAAAAGCGAATAGGAAGGCAACAAGTACGGCGGTGAGCAGAAAGGTATCTCTGAATGCTCAGCCCGTCTACCCTTACAGTGGTTCTGGAAGTAAAGAGGGTCCAACACAGGGGCATCTACTAATCTGACCACTGTGCGTGTGTCTCTGTGTTCCAGGAGTGGCTGGCTGTAGGTGTTCTGTGCCTTATTCCTGAGTTGTGCTCGGGAATAAGCACAGTGTATAAGCACTCGCCTGCACACCAGGCACAACAAATGCTGTTGTGGCCAAAATGTTTTCAGTACAAACACACTCAGTGCAGCAGTGGCCAATGTTCCCAGCGTAACACACACGGGTGACAGTGCTGCTCACAGCAGTAACGCGGCCTGAAAAAATAAGGCGTCTGACGGTGAATCGGCATTGAACGGTCATCACTCATTCAGAATGCAGGGTCACCGGACCATGAACAGAGTCAGCCTTTCACACCTATCCAGGGACACCGTACCGGGGGGAGGGGTGGTGGGGGGGGGGGGGGGGGGGGGGTTGGGACAATTATGTACTTCACAGGAGCCCGAAAAAACAAGACCATAACTGAACTGGTCTGGGTTAGGGGTTACGCTTACATGGGGTCCAAAATGTCTACCGGTGCCCTAAGTATGACTGGGGCCCCATTTCTATTCGTATACTTATGCAATTTCTGTTTTAGTCAGAGTGCAGGAAAAGCAGCAACTGCAGTATCAGATATGCAAAGCCACGATGTGCATGATCACAGAAGGGATATCAACACCGGGCACAAATGTAGCTCAACAGCAACACAGTTAAATGGTAGGCGTGCTAAACATAGACATTAGTCAAACGGGTTACCCATATTCAACTGTAAACTAATTTAAATAGAAGTATAGAAAGCCTGGGGTGGTTAGTATATTTATACCGATCATTCCACAGAAGCTCAAAATGGCATATGAGAATACTACCCAATCTAACCTCACGAAGTGATTTACATAGAAAAGAGTAAGTGAAACCACATTTTACGGCATGTAAACACCACCCACAGGAGATGCTGGTGGAAACGTGAGAGCACAAGGCAGCCAGGGGACCCTCATAGAGTGACAGCCCGCTCCTACTTAACCCGGACACCTCTAGGGCTCAACGCCGTCTAACACCGTGAGAAGTGCCGATGGACAGTAGTTTTACGGTAGTTTAGCAGTCTGTCACTGGTCGCTTGAGTAATGCACCCTAGGGAGTTTTCAGGCACAAAACAAATTAATATCAATTAAGTATGTATGTATGTTTGCATTAACGTATATCTATCTCTCTATCTATCTATCTATCTATCTATCTATCTATCTATCTATCTCGATCTATCTATCTATTACGATTAGTAGCAATAAGAGTGAAATGTTATTTTCCATGTCAGAAAATGGATTAAACACTGAACATACTTGAAAACGCGACATTCTTAGCAGCCCCACTCTTTCACCAGGTTTCCATCATTTGTAATGGGAAAATTATTATAAAGAGATAAACTGGAGATGACAGAAATCTGGGAGAAGCACCACCCTGGTCTGTGCCACATCCCCAATATCTCCCGCCCCGCTCCGGCTAAATGCAGACAGCTATTGGTTCGTTAGTATCAGTCACACGCGTACCGATCACCATATCTAAGACACGATTGGCTGTTCCTTCTGTCAATCAACTAACGTGATACCCGCAATCAGCTGTATCGTTCGCCTAAAGGAATACAGATAACTGCATGTCATATTCATTTATCTCTTTTTCCAGTAAGAGGCGTATGTCGAATATTACATTTCAGCCGTTCTTACCGATTTTTTAACGTATTGTCGCTTCTATCCAGATGTTATCTTGAATAAAGCATGAATGCGCGAGGCAGCCGAACACCGCTCCGTCCACCCAGAGGCACAAAGGCCCGCCCTCCACTCGACGCGCACAGCTACACAACAGAAGGAATTTGGCCGGACGTGACGCAGTTCACAGTGTGGGGGAGGTTCCCTGCATACACGCGTGCAGTTAAAAACCGTTTTATGTTCGGTAGAGTGTGATTGCACAGATTTTAAAATACAATTTGACATAAACTCCCCCATTTACTGGAATAATACTGTAGTGCAAGTGGTTCTCAAGAAGAGTGATTGTGGCTGGTTAGGGCATCAGACACAGGAAACGGGTGCAAATGCGGTGAAGGAAGGATGTTCAATCAGCAGCGGTGGCGTTGTTTGCCTTGATTGTTTTTTCTAAATCAAGCTTTGCCTACTTTGGTGAAACAAACGTTTTTAAGCACTGAAAAATGTCTTGCAGATAGCAGATCAGGTTATGTACATTGTTCAAGGTTACAGTGACACATTCTCTGTGATATAAACTGTTAACATTTTGATTACAAGTACTTAAACACTGCAGGGCTTGCCCTTTTTCTATTGTTCTTATTAACATTGAGAGAACACTTGAGTTGAGGTTGCATGCCGCATAACACTGGTATTTATAATCCCAGTATGCAGGGTCTCATGACATTGCAGAGCACGTGTATAATGGTATGATGAATTGTGAGTGTGAATCGTTCATGGTTGCTTGTAATTTTCCTGACCTGCAATGATTCGGAGTAAAGAAGGGAAAAGATTTTAATGGCCAGGCTGTTTTATTTTTACATTCCTTCATGTTGTGTGCGCCAGGGTTGGGGCCATTCCGGAATGCATTAATCAATTTCAATCCAAATCAGGAAATGGAACTGGTGTTGGAATTTAAATGTCGCTGAAATTCGATTTTTTTTTCCCCCAATACCAACTCCAGTTCCATTTCCTGATTTGGACTTGAATTGATGAATGCATTCCGGAATGGCCCTAACTCATGGTATGTTTCCAACTACATTATCGTGTTCCTCCCATTCATTGTTCCGTTAATCACCAGTTATCTAAAATATAGATTAAATAAAGACCAACCTCATTGTTTTCTCAAATTCTTCTCATTAAAATTTTATTCAAGTGAATTTCACTCAGAAATCTAGCAAAATGGTGCGATTTAAAATTTTTTAAAATTCTATATATAGGTGTACACATATTTACCAAAACCTTGCATTCAAAGCGATGTACAAGTGAGGCAAAAAGTCCACTGCAAACATACGTACTGTCACAACTAGTAATAAATAGAGATTCCAAATGAGATTCCAATGAATGCCTGCAGGTACTCGTATCGGAGTATTGGAGCAGTAGCTGCACAGAGGGCCAACGTGTATAATTCCTGGGCCCGGGACAAAATTATTTTAACAGGGACCCCCGCATGTGGATCACTATATCTCCTGCTACACCCCCTATACATGGTTATGAGGTTAATAAGCGCATTGCAACAGCCCGCCTCCGAAGAAGCTCGATCTCTCCCGGACCTCGTGTCTTAGGGTCCTCGCCAGCGGAAAAGGAAGGAGCGGAACTGATCCCCGGGGCAGCATCATGTAAGTTAACGTTATAACATTTAATCCAGCATTTTGATGAGTAAACCCACACTTGACATTACAGAGTACAGGCAATTATGATTTGCATCATACGAATAGCCATAATTTCGAATTTTATGTTTACTACGAGCGGAGCCCCTTTTTGGAGAGTGTTGTTCAGGGGTAAATAATGCATCGACGCTAGTTTCTGCACGTATAAATATAAGCAGGACACAGTTAAAAACAATAAGATGCATTTTTATTTACTTGTGAAGTTTGCTTATTTAGTCGACGTAAAAAACGAATACACGTTCAAGTCCAAAATAAAGGGAGCGGTGCTTCTAGCCAGCGGAAAGTCCTATTCGGGCGGGTTTGGCGTTTCTTCTTGGGGGTCGGCATGTACAGTTTGCAAAGTGATCGGATAACCGATTTGGACGGGATAAGAAAGATGTGTAATTTCCCCAAATTAGTAGAGCTATCTTAGATATAAAACTAATAAAATCTAGATGTTAACGCGTTTAGAAAACAAATTACAATATAATTTTCTTTTTTGGGTATAATATATTCATGAAACACGATAAAAAAAAACAGGACCGTTCCCTCTCCCGTACAGTAGCTACAAATTTCTGTGCTCAGTCGGCTAGTGTAATAGAGGCTGTAAGTGTTGGCTGTAAGACAGTCGTGTGGAAAACTTAAGTTCCTATAAAAGCTGCACTTTTACCGCATAAATGTTTTTTCCGCCTTACGGAAAGAGGCGTGCCGTTACATATATGACTGTATTACCGAGATGCCAGATCGCAGTACCTATGCCGAAAGAAGCCTGGGTTCGCCGAAATACAGAAGGTAATTCGCTCCTGGATTCTTACTCTGGACGTTTATAATAGGCTAATTATAGGCATGGCAGATTCGGGCAGGGTTAAAATTACGGACCTTGTCGGTAATCGCTTCAATTACATTACGTCCCCAGGTGAAACTAACCCAGTCCGAATATAGGGCTACAATGAAGACCGATAAACGTGATGTACGTATTACAGTACGACGAGTACGTATTACCGTCCGATCAAGCAAACAAGTGATAGTAAACATCGAGGAGTTCAATTCATTGAAATCCATTGATTGAAATGATGAAAACGTGTGGTTTAATACAGGAACATGCTATATGAGTCTTAGATATGACGAAATACCGAACCAGTCGGATTATACTGGTTTTGAGACTTAGTCACTATATTCGCTGGAGGGTTTTACCGTGTGAAAATTTTAATACGAAGTAGTCTACTTTTATTGAGATGAGTATTTTACGGATTCATATAACACATCGTTTAAATTAACAGTTCCTTGGCTTACATTTCTTCCGAAGGGGAGTAAACGGTGAAATTAGCAGAGGCACGGTACCTGTGACTGTAAGGTTGGTTGGTTGCGGCTTTCCTGTGCCGGCCAGGGTCAGATGATGATCACGTTATTCGTCTTCTGTTTTTTTTTTATCTCGCCCAGTTTCCAGTGCCTGCTTTCCCAAGCTAACTTTCACTTTTTCTTCTTTTTTTTCCCCGCGTACTGATGCTGGAATGACTGTTTTGTTTTCCTTCCTTCCTACAGTCTGATTGCTTGTTTTCCCTTCTTTCCTGATCCCGTCCTCCCATCCCTGTGTCACGTGCTTCTTTATGCCTTCCGACCAGGGAAAGTGTGACACAGACGAATCGTGATTAATATTTATGGTTCATGTTATACCATCACCCTTGGCAGGACATCAGTACACGAGGTGTACAGAGCCTCGTCCCTTGGTCCTCACTGCTTTTCGGAAATGACTCCATCATGATTCGGAAGACCGGTCCCTGTTTGTGGACCCTGGTACCTCAGGAAGACCCCGCCCCATGTGACCGCTATAACCACGCGTGCTGCTGCCAGGGGGGCAACATTTACCTGCTGGGTGGGCGAGGCAAAACCGTGCTGAATGACTTCTGGAAGTACAATGTTGGTAAGCTCAGGCATGCGGTCACATGACTGAACATGAGGGTCGGAAGGAAAGCACGGGGGCCTGATCTGCTCTGTCTTGCAGTTCGCAATGAGTGGACCAGCCTGGACTGCGGTTGCGAGGAGGCCCTGGAACAGGCGTCCATGGTGGCCAATCAGGTAAAAGGGCACATGCAGTCAGCTCTGTAGACTGACTCCGCCTCTAGCTGCCTCATTGCTTATTCATGAAGAGAGGCATCTAATTCTAATTAGGCGTGAATCACCTGAAAACTAGCACAGAGTCTCTAGCTGTACCCCCTTTAGTAATGCTATGGTTCTGTGTTGTTTCAGCATCTCCTGTATGTCTTCGGTGGGATGATAGACTGTGCATATGCTCACAGAAAGACCCCCCTCTGGCTCTACAATACAGGTGTGAGGCGCTGAGCTGGTGCCAACGTCAGCTGGCTGCTTTCTTTACTCCGTATGTTTCACGACAGGCTGGGGTGACCTGGTAACCTGGGCCAATGGTTCTGCTTGCTTCTGTCCCACAGATACTGAACAATGGCAGCACTGCCAGGATGAGGACCATCAGTCACAGGTGTGTAATCAGGGCGATGAGTCCGCATACCTGACGGATGTGGGACAGACACGGTGACGGCCCGGATACGGGCCCTTTAGCAGCCCATTCTGCAAACAGCGCCTCATGGCTGCCTGCCAGTGAAACAGCGCCTGACTGCATGCCGCGTGTTTTAGCACAGGGCTCCTGTGAACAGGAAGGGGCACAGTGCTGTGGTTTTTGAGGCAGCCATGTACGTGTTTGGGGGATACGTTGACCTGAAAGGCTCATCGGGGGAGTTCTGGAGCTTTCACTTTGGTGAGTGCAGAGCCAACGCCGGCCGACATTCATGCCATCTGCATAAAATGAAGTAGAACTTCACAAGGATGTCAAATTCAGAGTATCTTGGAAAAAATTGAAAATAAAAAAATGTAAAGTGAGCTTACATGTTAAAAGAACTGAAGTAATATTAGCAGCAGGTTAAGGAGGAGCAGTGCTCATTAACAGCTGAATGATCATTAACTGAATCACCAGCCCGGCTTGCTATCACACATTATGGGTGCTGGTATTGTAGCTTCCCAGAATGCCATGGTGTAGCTGCTACATTGATTGGCTGCGCTGTGTACGGCAGACTCGGGCGTGTGGTCGTCACTGACCCATGCGCAGGGAGAGACGGGGCCCGGACCACGCTACGGGCACTCGGCTGTGGTGCACCAGGACGACATGTACCTCTACGGGGGGTTGGCAGGTCTCAGGGAGCTGGGTGACTTCTGGAGGTGGAGCTTCTCCAGAACCAACTGGAGCAGCATCAGATCCCAGTGAGTATCTGCACCCCCCTCCAGCCTTGGCTTACTGTTACCTTCATCCGCCTAATTCAGGAGAGCAATGTTCTAACACAGGTTTGAACAGGTTCCTGATTTCCCTGAGTTCAGTGTGTCCCTGGGTCAACAAGGGAGGGGCTTGTGTTTCACTTCTTTAACCAATCAGAGTCTTCATTGTACGACATCACCAAATTAGTAGGGCTGTCACTATCAATTATATCAATAATCGTATAATGTACTGATTAATCAGTTGATTTATTGAGTAATCATTTATAATATAATATAATATAATATAATATACTGTATAATTTGAGACAGCGCTCCCCTCTGCACTAACATGCCACCGTAGCCCCCGGCGTACGAGATGCGCCATGCAAATATCGGTGTGGCATTTCATGCACCTGCAGTTGTCACATCGCAAGGACCATGATAGTCTGCTGGGTTCAAATTACCAATAAGTTGTGTTAAAACATTTTTACCGCTTTACCACCGCTGCTTTTCTTTAAACTCTGCATGCGCTCTCTGAGACAAACATTGTTGTCATCCTTGCCGTTGGACTCACTCGTGTGGCGACTTGTGAGAAATGACACAAAAAGTGAGCGAAGAGGAGAAAAGTGAGCAAGCGCCAGTCTGGGAAATATATTCATCCACAGCTGTATTTTCTATTCCACAGAGACAATTGATTTGCCGGCACTGCTTTGTGTCTGTTAGCATAACACACCACCAACTTATGTGACAGACTCTGTTAATAGATCAATTCTGTTCGTCTATAGGCCTATAGTTCATTTTCAGCTCGTCAATATAACTTAGAATATGGCAGTGTGAACTTTCCTGAAATATCATTCAGCCCTAAAAAACACAATATAACAAAATATATTAGTAGTAGTAATAATAATAACAATAATAATGAAATATGGTTGTTAGGTAGGTCTACAGTATTATGTATTATGTAAGGTGATGCTGACCGTCGTTTTTGCAGCTTTAATTTTGACATACTGGAATCGTAGAAAATAAATTAGGTTTAAGTGAAAGACAGGCTAGGCTATTATGATTGGCTGAAAGGCACGTATCTATGGCTGACCTTCCATCATTGGGTGAGTCTGTCAAACCCAAATGTCATTTTTTAAGATGTACCTGCATTGCAGTAGTTCTGTGGTGCTCCTTCACTTCTGATGCTCTCGTTCTTTATTTGGGTCCTTGTCAGCTGTGTGGCGTCTTCCTTCTGCCATATAGCTGAGTAATGGGAAGGGAATTTTTTATTGTTTTTTTTTTTTTAATTATTGAGTGATTGAGTTTAATCAAGTAATTGTGACGGCTCTACAACTTAGTCCTTTTTTTCTCATTTTCAAACTCATGGTTTCCGGCCGTACAGCTGTGTCCCGGGTCGTGTGAGGCTCAACAGTCTGAGCCTCTGTGCTTATCACCGGAAAGTCATTTGTTCAAGCAGAATAACTACATCTGTGGGTCCTTTGAGAAAGGTCTTTCAGCTTATTATCATGATTGTTGATATTATTATCATATATATACTGTATGAATGCATACTGTATGTATATATGCACCCCAACATATACACTAATATATATATAGTGCACACAGAAACTTTATAAATATTTGGTTTTTGTAACAAAAGTCATTACTTTATTCATTTGCTTATACAAAAAAATATATATCACATTATAAACAAAAGCCATACACAATAAAACGGGTCCTTTGTTTTAATTAATACTATGATGTCATAGAGTGAACACTGTGATTGGTTAAAGCGAAACACAAGCCCCTCCCTTGTTGACCCAGGGACATGTTGAACTCTGTCTTTGGACTGTGAAAATAAACCAGAGATTTTTTTAAGAAACCCCACATGACACTGGGGAACTGGGTTAGAGCACAGGGACTCCACACATGGAGATCAGGGGCAAGATTCACACCCCGTCTTATATTAGAAATGGAAGACGCATCACAGGTCTTGGCATGGAAAGCCAACGCACAAAGATATGGGCATTTCATTGTGCTGACACAGGTAACAGCTAAGAGCACAGTGATTATAAATAAAGGTATCTTTCCATGTGTACTGTAACAGTGTAACCATAGTAACAATAGCAGTTTGTACATGTAAGATGGCCAAGAGTGCCCAGCTGCCCAGTGGGGATGTTAATACCACCATCTGCATCGACATATATACCTTAAGGAAGAGGGCAGGATGAGTTTTAGGTGAATCGCTCACACGCCTCCCGCTTCTCTCACTGCACAGCTCTGGCCCCTCCCGGCTCGTGGGCCACTCGGCGGTGGTCTGCCGGGGCAGCATGCTGCTGTTTGGGGGAGCGAGGGGCCAGTGCCTCACCAGTGAAGACCTCTGGAGGTTCAGCTTCGCCGATCAGACCTGGGAAAAGCTTTCCAGGCTAACCGAGGTCGCCCCGCCCTACAAGGTGTACCACTGCAGCGTGGGACTGGGCCCTGCCTTCCAGATCCGAAGTGCTGCCCTTCCTGCGTGCCTAGGCAGGTCCAAAAGCGGCAGGGCCATGTTCAAGGCTTTCCGCTCTTTTCCCGGGGCTCTCAGCCGGCCCACTGGCCCCATTGAGGACAGCATTCATCTGGAGACCTTCTGCGTGAGTAACGTCTTGGGGAAGGACTATCAATCTAGCAGGCTGGCTGAAGGCAGCCCCCAGACTATGGAGGTGACAGAGAATGGGGTCGGGCTCACATTCGAAAACCGAGACGCTTGCAGTAGAGACACGGACTGCGCGGAAACACCCAGTCCAGGGATGGGCGTGCTCAGACACCCAGATGTACTCCTGCTCTTGGGGGGAAGGCCCCTCAGTGAAGGTGCAAGCATCTCCGTGTGGCAGATGACACCTTCTGACCTTTGACCTTTGGAAAAGGACCAGACGGCCCTCCAGTGCCAAAAGATGCAGGGTGTCTACATTGTCTGTAGATGAGGTTCTCATTATTCGTCTGCTTGACACCTACTGACCATTAATATTTTATTTATTTGACTTACAGTTCATTTATGAGTATTCTGCCAAATTAAAATGAAAATAGGGACTTTATTAAGTTACTGATTTGACTTAATTTCAAGATGGAACATTATTTCCCAACAAAATAGTAATAACAAGCCATACTGGGGATGCACTGCTTTCATTTTTTCAGACTGAGTGGTACGAAATGTGGCTGGGCAATGTCTATATGCAATAGTGTAAAAATATCTGGCTAAAAGAAAAATTCTAAATCACACCCCCCCCATACACATACACACATACACACACCACAGACGCATGTAGCACAAAGAGGGGCGCTTATTTTTTTTAGCTGGGAAAAAAAAAACGTGAAAGAATGATATACGTACAATCCCTTAAACACGTTTGTAGTCTCTCTGGAAAACGATGGATCCAGGTTTAATTATGATTTAAAAAATATGCCGTGAGCAGTCTGAAAAAAATGTAAAATGTGAAACAGTATGTTTTTTCATTGTTTCTTCATCCTTTGATGGGTATAAAAAGCATGATTTTCACTGGTTGATATTTTTTCATTACTATATCTATCCATCACCGTAACCGCTTATTCCCAACTGGAGTCGCAGGGGGGACCGGAGCCTATCCCGGGAACAAGGGGCACAGGTGGGAACCAACCCTGGGCAGTTGCCAACACACCACAGGGCACACACACTCACACAGGGCCAATTTAGACTCGCCAATCAACCTGCTCTGCACGCTTTTGGACTGTGGGAGGAAACCGGAGCCCCTGATGAAAACCCACGTGAATAGCGTGCGAACTCCACACAGAAAGACCCGACCCCAAACCCAGGACCTTCTTGCTGTGATGCAGCAGCACTAACCACTGCACCACCATGCCACCCTGATTACTCTATTTTCTCTTGAGAATTAGGCTAAAATGATAGAATACTTTTCATTCAAGAGTACAGTCAGAGATGCATTTTGATACAAAATACCCTATTTGTAAGTGTATCTAAATAAACTACAAAATACAGTATTTTTAAAATATAAAAATAATTTTCAAATAGGCTGTATTATATATTAATTTTTTCTATAAGAGCAACATTTTTTCACTGCTTAATGAGACAGAATACAAATGTGAAACCAAACAAATGATCAGATATTCTGAAGTGTCTTAAGAAACCCATAATACCCCAAATACAAACATGAACACTCAGATAATGGGTCAATTAAGTCAATTAATTTATTTACACTACAGATGCAAACAACTCACAACAACAAAAATGACAAACACAATTTAAATATTTCACTCAGTAACATCTTATAACCGATACCGAGTTTAAAGTTTTTATCTATTGGCGCATTAAAAAGACTACGAGTACATGACCACGGTATTGGACCCGATACCGCTACTAGTATCGGTGCATCTGTAAGCCACACATATCCTAATATAAAACAAATGTAGCTTGATAATATATATATAATATAGGCATAGTGTCCGCTGTGGGTGATTTGTTCCAAACTTCAGCATTTTGGTAAACTTTCAGAAGAAAATTATGTTAATATACTGTGAAGTTCCTATCAGAATCTAAGAAATACAAATGAGCAAATCAAAAGAACAAATCAATCGCTGGCTTCCCTTCCTATGGCAAATAACGGTAAGTTTTTTTATCTACCACTGGAGGGCAGCACGAACACCTAGAATCATACAGGGTCATGTTTCTCGAAACCTTCTTAATGCTGCGTCGTTCTTAAGTTCTATGTTAAAATATAGGCCTAGAACTCACGAACGACGTGGCGTTAAGAAGGCTTCGAGAAACTCATCCTAGGACAGTATCACAATAGAATTTATGTAGTCAAAGACGTCATTATATATATCTTAAGATGCAAAAGTTGCGCGAAGATAAATTGATTTCCCCAGCCTGGATTCTGTGTGGAATCTGCTATTTGAAAACATGTATTAATGTACATTTAAATAAGCAATGAAACGTGACAGGAGTAGGTCTATAATAACGCGCACATCAGAAGCTGCTTTACAATCAGTTTGCACACCGATTACAGTTTTTAAAAATGTTTATTTATTGTAAAGAGGATTTTTTTTGTGGTTTAACTTAAACCCGTCTTATAAGTCTATAAAGACAAAGTAATACTGGATACAGAGGCTGCAGTAGCCAGAAGAGGATCAAATTTAAATTTGATTCTGTTGCTCTTACAGTCATAACTGGCGATATCGTCTGCAGAATCCTCCACTTCTAAAAAACCGTTTACAAATGTTTTCACGCACAACCGTCCAAGTACTACTGCTAATAATAATCAACATCACTATCATCATATAACAATGAGAAACATTTCACAGGACGCGGTTTCTCTTGATGTTTTAAGATTTAGATAGCCCACTTTAATCCAGCCCAGACTGTTGCTGTTGCGTCTGTTCACTTGACCCACTAACCTAAATCAAGGTATCTTGCCCTTAAGAAAACTATATATTTAGACAAGAGATGCTGCGTATTATCTGCATGCCGACTTTCATTACGAACAAATTGCAGCTTTTTCTTTTAACAGATGTCATATTTAAGTCCTATTGCATAAGGGCCCAATTCGAGATAAAAAAAAATAGCTTAAACGCACCTGTCACAATCGCCCGAGTTGTTTAAATGAATAGCTCTAATAGCGAAAATGTACATACAATATTCAAGAGGTACACAAAATTGTCCTCGGTTTTAGTTCTTTCAGTATAAAATTTACATCTGAAAGAATGGTGGCGCTCTTCCGTTATTATTTCCACTTACTTTTCATTGTTAGTTAGATACATATGTAACTGTAATTCCCATGAAAATATGAATTCGTAGTTTAAAATTATGTCTCAAGAGGCTTCATTCCAGTTATGGGTTGACGCACCAGTGCGACATTCATAAATCAGAAATCTAAGGGGGCATTAACATAATGAAACAGCAACGTGAGCGGCTTAATCGCTGCTATTTTAATGGACTCCACGCAGTTCATTTAATTGTCCGAAATAATTAAGCAAAAACGAAAACTACAGTAAAGCGGAGACCATACGGAGGTGGCGGCCTGCTGTCTGCGCCGCTCCCGAATACAAACGGCTCATTGTTGGCCGCAGAAATGATCGCGAACTGCCAGGAAAATAAAGCAGACCCCTGTGTTAGGTGTTCATGCTCTCCGTGTCAAGTTTAATTAGCGAAGTCGGCCGGAGCGCCGCGATCAGGGGCGAAGGAATGAGCGCACAGGTCACCGGAGGGCACCGGGGATCCCCGTCTGGAGGTTACTGTCACGGTTTAAAATAGCAACACAACAAATGAAAGGATATGTTGAGCATGCCCTACATGAAGAAAGAGCTACTTACCTACCTACCTCCCTTCCCTAAACGGTTAATTTATTGTGCTTCCTCCCACCCCTCAGTCATTAGACAGCTTCTCTAAATTCTGATAGTGACAAAAGTTTTAAAATAACGCCCTCTTACGGCTCCTCTTTGTTCGCAGTGCCGAATGTTTCAGTAGGCTATTTCAATTGTGAGCCTCCACACACCACAACTTATAACTCTCCCAAATTAAAGATGAGTTTTGTAAGAACAATGAGAATCAGGCCTAATAACAATTTATCCAAAGACATAACGAAGAGTAATTTGACTACTTTTCAGTTTGCACTGAAAACTCTAAACAAATCACGGGTTGAATGTGACACTTCTCAAACATACAGTCTCGTGCGTATGACATGTCGCAATACATATGGTCTGCTTCAACAAAGGGAGGTAACTATCACAATATTGTGGGCATGTAAAATGATGTACTGTCTGTTTGAGGCAGCCTACCGAAATAATTCCTTATATTAAAAGCAGAATAATGTTATACAATTTTATAAATATGACTTTAATTGGAGCCGTTTCCTTTCTGCAGGCCACAGGGTATTGGCGGAGCCAAAAAAAAATTCAGTGTGGTGGCCAGGGTGGGACCAGAGGTCATTTTGGGGTGGCACATAAATCTAAATATGAAACCTCGTCGCGGGAATAATCCCCCTTAAAAACAACGTATAGTCAGTCAGCCCGTTGGTGGCGCGTTTGAGGTGGCTCCGACTCTCATATAAAAAGTTTCAGTGTGCATAATAGCACCAAAGTCGACTGCGAGGAAAAAGCTCATGCGAAGATTACATCATATTTTTTTTTCAGATAAGAGCGACAGCCGTTCGCAGGTCGGCAGGAAATTACAAGGCGCCTAATTAAATAAACCAAAGCGGCAGAGATCGGCAGCAGGAGAAATGAGCGCATAGCTAGAAAGAAGCGAACGCATAGCGAGTGAGAGGCGCACATGATTTAAATGCACGGCGCTCCGCACCTCTCCCCAAAGTGCGCTCTCCCTTCTTTCCCTGTGGATGCTTTGTCACTCCGGAGCGTGTTTTCTGCTCTTAAATGCCGTTGCTTTTCCTTATTTATTCCAGTGTTCCTTTGAAACCATGGCATGAAGCGCCGGGCGCTGCGCTGGAGTGCCTCTCACTGCTCTAAAAGGTGCTGATTTTAACTTATCCGCTCAACATTTTTTTCTTTCTTTTTCTTTTTTTTGTTGGTGGAGTAGGGCCACCCTAACTTGGGGGTTATAAGTCAACTTGTTCATTGAGTCAGATAAAGACGGAGGGCAACGCCACTGTATGCTTTCCATGAAAATGACCAAAGACAGAAAGCTACGGGGGATTCATGAATGAAGGGCTGTGTGCGGACCGATCATACTGCTCCTCTGCATCGATCGGATGTCTCCAGCGATCGGCTGCATTTCTTCACTCTAAATTTTATGCTTGCCCTCGAGGTTCATTTTAGGAAATAACGGGAAGACGAACTTCTTACGCTTAGTATACGTGTCGGCGAGTTATAGAAACGTACACTTTATTTCCAGCGCACAGGGGAATATCACTTGGAAAAAGGCGAGAAAATGGGAAGATACATGCTGCGAGTGGTTTGCATCGTGGCTTGCGTACTTTCCGCTTGCTGCACACCGGCGCCGGGGACCGACACCAAAGCGACATCCCGGGATACGTGCGCGTCCTGCGGCGTCGCTCAGCCAGAGGAGCCGGGCCGGCTGGACGGAGACTTCCTGGAAGCCGTGAAGAGACATATTCTGAACAGGTTACAGATGCGGGAAAGACCCAACATCACGCAGCCCATCCCGAAGGCGGCGATGGTGACCGCACTGAAGAAGCTGCACGCCGGCAAAGTGCGAGACGACGGCAGGGTGGAGATCCCCACCCTAGACGGACACGCCGCGTTTACTAACGAGGTCCCGGAGGAGACGTCAGAGATCATCAGCTTCGCGGAGTCAGGTATAAAGCGCTCGAAACATCTCTATAGTTAATAGACTTTTTAACTATAGTTGAACCGGTTCGTCGGAGATCAAGACATATAGGCTACTGGGTTTATTTAAATTGTGATAACATATAATCGTCATTTATTTACATATGGCCTTGTTTTTGTGTGTGTGTGTGTGTGTGTGTGTGTGTTTTTTTTTTTTTACAAATTTAATTTAAAACGTGCAGACGACCAAGATGACAGATGAATGGATGGTCCATTAAAATTCGGATTTGGATCCCGCATGTAATGAGAGAGACGGGAATGTGAATGAAGTCGCTGGAGCGTTTCACTCACACACACCGCGATATAAGCGCTTTCTGTCTACATCGGGATATGATACTTTAAAATGATGTTTCATTTCAGCCCGGGTCTATACATACGAGCAAAAGCGCCGACAAGACCGCAATTAACCATATCATCACTACACACATAATAAATAAGATAAAACAACTAAAACAAGTCGAAGTGATTAGATGTTTAAAATGACACGCAGCAGACCATCCCGCTGTTTGATTCCGCATTTAATACGTGTTTTATGCATTCATAGGCGTAGACGCAGCCCTGTCCCTGGATTCTGTGTCTCTTCTGAGAACCTTAAATGACCTCTGTCCTTAAACAGTAGCGAAGGCTGTGTGTAGCCCCCAGCGAATAAAAGCCCTCTGGTAGGGTAAGCGGGTAGCCTAAACCTCAGCACAGGCGTTGTATGGGGGGGGTACAGGGACACATTTCCAGCCTTTCAAAGTGGTGGCAGGCATGGTTACCCCTCGATGCCCTTCCCACGACCCCTCGGAGCATGTTATCTCTGTGTGTTCACATGACAATAGGACTGATGGACTGTGTTCTGGACGACACTTTTTGTTTGGGTACAAACGGTTTGTGACCAGGTCTAAAAAAACGACGTAAAACAAACCATGGAATAGTACACAGAGTATGAGTCATCTCAAAGCTGGAGGGGGGGGGGGGCGTTGTCCATTCCTGGACAAGTCGAAGGTCTTACTCACAGATGCCTCTCTGCATCTTTCTGCTGTACTCGGGTCTCCCAGACACAGAGACCCCCAACACAGTGCATGTGTGGTGTGTGTGTGTGTGTGTGTGTGTGTGGGGGGGGGGTTGCTGGATAGACAGACATGGTGCTGAGTCAGGCCTCACACGCACTCTGGTGTAAAGTGTGGCATGGTTCACAACACTCCGGAACTGGTGCCCATGCGCCAGGATTGGCTCTCATCAATGGAGCGACATCTGTTTGGCTTCCGTGTTAAACCAGTCCCTACCTTGTTATAGGTGACGGTCCGGCCCTTGATCATCCTTTAACACTACGTGTCTTTTGACTCTGTTTATCTCACATCTGCAAAACGAGTTTCTGTCAATGATGTCACCTGGCTTCTAATAAATCGCATGTCAGAGTGAAAATATTTTAATTCCTGCTCGATGGTTAACAAAATATCTTTAATAATATATTTACACGTTACACGTTTTTCCAAATTATGACAGTGTCGGTATTAATATTTACCTACAATGTTCCTGCCACACAAAGGGGTCATTATAAAACCCGGCTCTCCCTGGAATACCTGCTTTTCAGCGTAGAATCACAGGTCTTCAGCGTGTTCCCTTCAGGAGCAGCGTCCTGCCCTGAGAGCTCTTCTCCGATTGTCCCAGCAAAGTGCTGTTCTTTTCCCCCCAGCAGGCCTCTTGTGTGCTTGTCAGTTTTTAGACATCCTTTGCTGTCTTTCCCCCCAGAAGACGCGGTGCACTGTGCTCCAGTGGGGGGGCAAGCTCGTGCCCTGGGTCGCCGTGGAATTCCTTTACACTGCCCAGCAGAATCACAAATCACACTTGTTGTCATTCCCTCTTCTGGCTCCCGGACTCCTGTCCGCCGCTCGTCCTGTGGCTTGGCGAGGTCCCGTCATTCCCCCGCAGAAACAAGCCTCTTTCAAACAGCAGAGTAGCAGTCATGTTCCATCACTAAGCCCAGTGTGTGAGAAACCCTAGCTGACTGTCAGGTCTTGTTTGGCTTGTGCTGGCTTTTCACCTGTATCACAGACACATTCCTCGGCACGTTTATTGCCTTTCAATACACACCAGAGATAGTCAGGACACCCGCAACACACGCCATCACATCAAAGACAGTCAGGACACCCTCAACACGTACATGTTATACCAGAGACAGTCAGGACACCTGCAACACAAGCCATCACACCAGAGACAGTCAGGGCACCCGCAACACATGCATTATAGGATTGATTTTAAAATATTATTACTGGTGCACAAAGCACTAAATGGTCTCGGGCCCAAATACATTTCTGAATTACTTGAACATTATGAAGCTAGCAGACCCCTCAGGTCATCTGGGAAAGGTTTACTCAGCGTTCCCAGAATCAGTACCAGGCAAGGTGAAGCAGCGTTCAATTTCTATGCTAAAACTGTCAACTCATTTAAATCAGGACTTAAAACGTTTACTACAGCTTTTCAATAAATTAAATCAGTTTAATCATACACTGTGACTACAATATAACTTATTTTCAGTTAACTATCTATTTGTTTTAGGTTTTTTAAAGTTAATTGTATTGTTATTTTTTTTTGTCTTTAAGGTATTTTATTTAAATGTGTTCTGCCTTTGTAAAGCACTTTGAATTGCCTTGAGTCTAAATTGTGTTATATAAATAAACTTGCCTTGCCATCAAACCAGAGACAGGCAGGACACCTGCAA